CAGAGCTGCCACCCAAAACATCAGAGGAATGGGCTTCTGCTCTATCGGTAAATTTTCCAGCAAAACTAAACCTTGGGCTAAAACACTAATTAGAAATAGGATTTGGACACAGTTGTAACAGGGGACCTTAATACCCCATTGGCAGAAAGAGATAGATCAACTAGACAAAGAAATCAACAATGAAATATTAGAACTGAACTAAACTTTTAAACAAATAGACTTAGTAAACGTTTATACAGTGTTCCACCCAACAACATCAGAATACACGCTGCACATGGGAGGACCTCTAAAATAGACCATCTACTAGCCTACAGAACATAAATAAGTAAATGCAGAGTGTACGGATCCGTTGGGTTCTTGCTGTATTCCAGGAAGGAATGGTGGTGAGAAGGAAGAAAAAATAGACAAGAGACAAAAAGCTGGGGTCAGCCAGAAGTCCCCTCTGTTTTAAACAGAGAAGGGCAACTGCCCAAGAATGGTAGCATATTTATTTATACCCTGGAGAAGTTGGTTAATTTCCTCCTTGGTGTCCAGCAATCAGTTAGCAAGCTCTACAACGGCTTGTTTACGTGCTTCGAGGAGCTCCCATGTTCTCGGGCTGGCTTCGTCCTGCACATGTAATTACTTCCCAGCTTCAGCCACTGCTAACACAGAGGAATTGAAATTATTCCATGCATATTATCTGACCATAGTGCAATGAATTGGAAATCAATGACAAAAAAACCCCACAAAAATTCCGTAAACACATGGAAATTAAATAACACCCTCCTGAACAATCAATGGGTCACAGACGAAATTAAAGAAGAAATTAAATGATATCTACAATCAAATGAAAATGTAAATACAATATATTGGAACCTGTAGGATGCAATGAAAACAATCCTAGGAGGGAAATATATAGCAGTGAATTCTCATACCAGGAAAACAGCATGAGCACAAATAAACAACCTAATACTACACATCAAGCTTCTAGAAAAAGATGAGCAAGTCAAGCCCAGGGTCCATAAAAGGGAGGAAAATATAAAAATTAAAGCAGATATTAATTGAATTGAGACTAAGAAAACAATACAGAGAATTAATGAATCAAAGATTGGTTCTTTGAAAGAATAAATAAAATTGATAAACCCTTAGCCAACCTTATCAAAAAAAAAAAAAAAGGGAAAGAAAAAAAGCGCAAGTTCATGCTTTGAGGAATGGAAAGGGTAAAATCACTATAGATCCTGTGGAAATTCAGAAGATCATCAATACCTACTTTGAAAATCTTTACTCTCATAGAATGGAAATCATAGAAGAAATGAACAGACTCCTAGAAACATATGAATTACAAAATCTGAATCAAGATATAAAAATTCTGAATAATCCACCTGGTCAAGGAGGTGCAGCGGTGACTCACCAGGCTTCCTGAAGATCTCTGAATAATACAGTATCAGTTAATTAAATTGCAAACATAATTAAAAACTTAACAAAGCCCAGGTTCTGATGGATTCATCCCTAAATTCTACAAGAAATTTATAGATTTAATGCCAATACTCCTTAAGTACTTCAATGAAATTGAAAGTGAAGCAATACTCCCTAACTCATTCCTAGAGGCATGTATTACTGTGATATCAAATCCAGAGAAAGACCCAGCCAAAAAAGAGAACTACAGGCCAATTTCCCTAATGAACATAGATGCAGAAATGCTCAATAAGATATTAGCAAACAGGATGCAGCAAATTATCAAGAAGATTATACACCATGACCAAGTGGGATTCATCCCAGGAATGCAAGGATTGTTCAACATATGCAAATCAATAATACGCCATATCAGTATTTGTCTTGATTGCTTTTCTTTCATTGCTGAGACAAAATACCTGACACCCAATATTAAGGAAGGAAAGGTTTATTTAGCATACCGTTTGTGGAGGTTTCAGTCTATAATCAGCTGGCTCTAAGTCAGGGTGGCACATAGCAAAGGGCAATAATTTATGGCAGTGGAAAACAGTGAAAGCAACAAGAGCAAAAGGGAGGAGCAGCAGCAAGCAGCCTCTTTCCCTCCCTTACATTGTATGCAAACTATCCACCCCAGGGCAGGTGTAACACTCACACCCATAATTCCAACATTGGACAGTGAATCAATCCTAAACTCTGGAAACCTGCTCCATGACTGCATGAGGCTTTGGGGGGACATTCTGATACAAACCATAACAGTAATATACCATATCAACAAGCCAAAGACAAAGATGGCATGATCATCTCAATAGATGCAGACTGTTGATAAAATTCAACACTCATTCATGATAAAAACCCAACAGAAAATTAGAATAGATGGCCTTACTCTCAATTTGATAAAAGCCATCTATGACAAACCAATAACCAACATCATACTAAATGGACAAATACTGAAAGCTTTCACTCTAAAATCAGGAACAAGACAAGAATGTCCACTGTCTCCACTCTTATTCAACATAGTCCTGGAAACATTAGCCAGAGCAATTAGACAAGAGAAAGAAATAAAAGGAGCAAGAATAGGAAAGGAAGAAGTGAAATCATCGTTATTCGCAGATGACATGATACAGTACATAGAAGACCAACCAAAAAATTCAGATTTAGTAACCACATTCATTCAGTAGTGTAGCTGAATACAAAGTCAACACTCAAAAATCAATAGCATTCTTATACATAGATAACTAACTGAGAGAGAAATTGGGGAAACTACACCCTTCACAATAGCATCCAAAAAAAGAAATACTTATGAATCAGTTTAACAAAGGAAATGAAAGATCTGTACATTGAAAATTACAGTACTCTGATAAAGGAGATCAAAGAGGTTATCGCAAAATGGAAAGACATTCTCTGCACATGGATAGGAAGAACCAACACTGTGAAAATTGCCATATTCCTAAAACTGCTACACAGATTTAATACAATCCTGATCAGAATACCATTAGCATACCCCACAGATCTAGAGAAAACATTCCTAAAATTCATTTGGAACCAGAAGAGACCTAGAATACTAAAGGCAATCCTGGGCAACAAACGCAAGGTGGGAGGCATCACAATTGCTGACTTGAAATCATACTACAAAGCTACTGTTGTAAAATCAGCATGGTATTGGTCAAAAAAACAGTCTTGAGGATCAGTGGAACAGATTAGATGTGCAGACACAACAACAAACACACTCAGCTATCTTATCTTTGACAAAGGGGCCAAACACATTCACTGGAAGAAAGATAGCCTCTTTAATAAATGGTGTGGGGAAAACTGGCTTTCCACATGCTGTAGAATGAAACTAGACGCATGTCTATGACCATGCACTAAGCCATAGTCAGAATGGATCAAAGATCTAAATATTAAAACAGAAACAATTTACTGGAAGGCAAAGTAAGTAGAAATCATGAAGACAAAGGGGTAAGCAGAGAGTCTGTGAACAAAACCCAAACTTCATGGAAAGTACTTCAAAGAATTAACAACTGGAATCTCATTGTATTAAAAAGTTTTTGAGCATCAAAAGAAATCACAAACAGAATGTAAAGAAAACCTACAGAGTAGGAAAAAACTTTAACCGACTGTCCCTCAGACAGAGAACTAAAATCTAGAACATACGAAGCACTGAAAAAAAGTCAGGCCCCCCAAATTCAAAGACCCAATCTAAAAGTGGACATCTGAGATGAATTCAAATAGCAATAAATATATGAAAAATTGTTCAGTATCATTAGGCATTTGAGAGATGCAAATTAAAACAACACTGATTCCATCTCACCCCAGAAAGAATGGCTATGATCAAGAAATCAATGAATAACAAGTGCTGGCAGGTTATGGGGAAAAAGGAACCCTCCTCCACCGTCTGTGGGAGTGTAGACTGGTGCAACCACCACACCACTGGAAATCAGTGTGGAGATTCCTCACAAAACTAGGATTAGAGATCCCAGTTAACACAGCTATTCTTCTGGGTATCTTCCGCAAAGAGTTAAAAACATCATACCACAGTGATATATGTGCATCCATGTTCATAGCACCACAACTTATAATTGCTAAATCTTAGAAACAACCTGAAAGCCCATTAACTGAGGAATGGCTAAAAAAGATGCAGTGCTTTCATATAATGGAGTACTACTCAGCTATGAAGAAGAATAGACTCTAGGCTTTTATAGGTAAATGGATGCAACTAGAGACCATACACATAAATGAAATAAATCAGACTCACATGTAAACATCGTATTGTCTCCCTAGTGTAAGAAACTGAAAGAATAAATATCCAAAATGTATAATAGATATTATGAAAGGGGAAGAAACTGCTCAAAAGGGAAGAACAACTGAGACAGGGGAAAGGAGAAAAGGGAAAAGAATATATAGACACACACACACACACACACACACACAAACACACGATAGCTAAGATAATTATACTGCTAATTTCTATTTATTAAAAAGAGTGGTTTTATGCTTATATTGTTTAAGTTTTCATGCCTGTAGATCTTGTAATCTGAGCAGCTACTTTAAAGATAACCAT